ACAAAGCTGGTGAGGGGTCTGGAGGACAAGTCTTAATGAGGAACGACTGAGGGTTGTTTAGCCTGGAGAAGAGGAGGCTGAGGGGAGACCTTATCACCCTCTACAACTACCTGAAAGGAGGTTGTAGAAAGATGGGGGTCGGTCTCTTCTCCCTGGTGACAAGTGATAGGACAAGAGGAAATGGATTCAAGTTATGTCAGACGAGGTTTAGATTGGATATTAGGAAAAAAATTTTCACTGGAAGGGTTATTAAACATTGGACTAGGCTGCCCAGGGAGGTGGTGGATTTGCCATCCCTGGAGGTGTTTAAAAAAAGGGTAGATGTGGTACCTGGGGACATGGTTTAGAAGTGTTTTTGTCAGGGTAGGTTAATGGTTGGACTTGATGATCTTAAAGGTCCCTTCCAACCTCAGCGATTCTATAATTCTAATCGGGATTCATGTGGTGAAACCACTATAAGCTGTTAAAATTCATGAAGACAGGAATGTAAGCTGTTTTCTACTTCTGTGCTTTTTATTGCATAGAAATGTTGAGAGAGCAAAGTTGAGATTTAGTCTAGGTATGACACAACTTTGGCAAAGGGAGAGCAGTATCAATGAGATTGGAGATGAGATGAAACAATTTCTTACTTTGAACAGTCAGAGGATCGTTAATAGTTAGACAGTTACCTAGACACTCACCTGCACCTTAATATGTTTAGATCTTAATTATGATGCCAAAGTAAAGTATAACTTAAATAATCGGGGCACATTAAATGACTTGTGTAGCCTTTCAACAGAGATGCTCATTATAATAGGAAGAATATATTGTAGTGGATTCATTATTTTAAATAATTGTTCTATCTTTTTTCAGCATGTTCAGTGGCTGGTATTCCAGGTGTGAAGAAATGGTATTTTGCAAGCCAAGTTATATGTGGTTATTACCAGGTAAGATAGAATATAAGTTCCTCAACTCTCTGCCTGTCTCTAGCACAAGTTAAAACTGTGATTTTCAAAATTCTTTTTGCTTGATTAGTTCTGCAGTTCTGACTGGGAAGAAATAAATTTTGACACACAGAAAAATGAAGACTCTCTCCATACAAGTACTGACGAATGCCTGGGAGCCATACAGAATTTTGAGGAAGAAGACAATAACAGTAGAGAATCACTGTCTTTGACTGAGTAGGCATATTACTATTTTTATTGAAAGCATAGTGATCTGACATTTAACAGTAATAATTCAAGTGAATCAAGAAAATTTAACAAGTGCAAGTTCTTACCAGAGCAACAGTTAACTATAAACAATCCCCTGCTACAACTGAAAAGAATTCTATTTCGTTTAACATAGCTTTATTTTTTAGTACAGGTGATTTTTATAGAATAACTGAACAGTTTCCTAACAGCTGACAGTTATATGTGCAAAAAGAAGTTTCTTGCTAAGAGAAAGCTGACCATCTTGAATCCTAGTTCCAGTTTTACTGCAGATTGTTTTGAAGTCATTTAGCCTACTTCTGCCTCAGTAAAAAGGGGGATAAATATATCTCATTGCCTAGGTATGTTTGTGCAGAATTTTACAGGTATAAGATACTTACATCAGGTAGTATTCATTAGTTGTAACTTTTTGTTTCTAAATTACTTTTTGTTTCCAACCATGTTCTCTTCATTTTCAGTATCTATGATGAAGCTGCAGAAAGTCTACATCAGTTAGCTGATAAACTGCCTGCCCCAGGTAACGTCTCTTAAAAGAGAAGTATCTTTTTGAGTTTATCTTGTTATTACTCTAAAAACTCAGCTGGTAAAGTCATAGTCAAATGGAAAAACTCAAGGGGATGTTTGTTAGTTGAATCGACTTGTATGCAGCTCTTGCAAATAGTTTAAGGAACTTGAGCGTGATTGGCCTCGTAAATCAGTTTATAGAGTTTTTTGCTGCTTGTTTCATTGGAAGGCTGTATTTCAGTAGAGATTAAGGTAGCTATTTATAGAATTAATTTTACCATCTCAAAGGCCACCAAAGTAGTAATAGATAGTAAGCAATATGAAACTCAACATGCAACCATAGGAAGTTTTTATGAAAAAAAAGGAAGGTGTTGACATCAGGCTCACATCTGATTTTCCAGCTGATTGCTTGTGGGTGGGAGCCAAGAAGCTGTAAAGGAGCATAGATCAGAACTATTGGATTCAGATTTTATAAACTGGAGACATGTATGACCTTGCGTGTTAGGGTTACAT